CTCCCGCAGTGTGGCGGCCTATGTGGATGATTTCCGCACGTTGGCTGCCGAGAGTGCCTGGAACCCGAAATCCCTGTTCAACATGTTCCTACATGGATTATCAGAGGAGGTTAAAGACAAGTTCGCAGCCCAGGAGCTGCCTACGGATCTCGACTAGCTCATCGCCTTGACCATCCGGATCGATGGGCGGCTACGGGAATGTAGGAGGGAGAGGAGGTCTGATTCCGGTCCCACTCGCTCGCCCAAGGATCCCACCTCGCCTCCGAGGAATCCCGGAAGTTCCCGGCGTCTACGTTCCTGAGAGAATCCGAGGTTACTGAGTTCCCACCGAGAGTCTCTGAGGATACGGAGGCTAACCGGATGTTTGTCCCAGATGCTGCCCGCTCCCCAGTCCTAGAATGGGCTCATTCCTCCAGGCCTGCCAGCCACCCTGGCACCTGTCGGACCCTGGCCTTTGTGCGACAATGCTTTTGGTGGCCCACCATGCTCCCTGACGTCTCCTCGTTCATCGCCGCCTGCACTGTCTGTGCTCAGAATAAGACTCCTTTGCAAACTCTGTCTGATGGCAACACCACTATCCTCACGGTGGTGGACAGGTTTTCCAAAGCCGCCCATTTCATTCCCCTCCCCAAGCTACCCTCTGCCAAGGAGACGGCCCAGCTCATGGTGCAGCACGTCTTCCGGATCCATGGCCTTCCGGTGGACATGGTCTCCGACCATGGTCCTCAGTTCTCGTCCCGGTTCTGGAAGGCATTCTGCACACTCATTTGGTCATCAGCCAGCCTGTCCTCCGGGTTTCACCCCCAGTCTAACGGCCAGTCGGAGCGAGCCAATCAGGACCTGGAGACGACTCTTCGTTGCCTCGTCTCCGCCAACCCCACCACCTGGAGCCAGCAACTGTCGTATAAATATTTGACTAAAAAATAGTCAACTCAAAAATATCTCTCAAGAGACTGGAGCTTGTGAATCCAGAAATTAGACTTTATTATTGCGTAACAAAGCCGTGCCACTCCATGGAACAGCTGTCTCTCTTTGGCTTAGAGATCTCTTATACACACACACAAATGCACAGTCATGTATACATAGCTTACAAAGCTACTCCCGTTAAGATCACTGATTAACATCTTTAACTGCCACGCCACTATTATCTTTGAAAGTCCAATAACACATGTTGTTTACTCCAAAAGGCCATGGGCGCTTTTGCCTCTTTCCCTTATCTCATTATATTGGTGGCATGGCTCAGATACTTTTAAAAATAAAATACATACATTCATCAAAGCATGTTTACATATTGTATTGACTAAATTCCTTATTTAGACATGCATCTGGACTTTATCTTTGACATTTCCCAACATTTTCCTTAATGATACATAAAATATTACCAAATAATCCCCCCTTTGGGACATTCCAACAATGTCCCAAATAATACAAAGATTAATTTTAAAATGAATGTAAGCATGCGCATTTACTTATTCTTATCCTTGCCATATTTCTTTATAAACATTGTTCCCCACTTTTGTTTAGTTATAGCATTTCCCATATATGTGTTAGTATCCTATCACATCAACATATGCAACTTTGTCTTAACAATAATATCTAGGACATGTTAAGAATGGTGTCCCTACACCCAAAGAATGATCAGTCCCTACATCCAAACGAGGGCATTGCGTTCATCCACCTCTGGCCTGCTGGCTCCCCTTCCTCTGTGGAAGCATAGTTCCCGCTCAGCCCAGTCAAAACTGTTCGCTGCTCTGGCACCCCAATGGTGGAACAAGCTCCCTCACGACGCCAGGACAGCGGAGTCACTCACCACCTTCCGGAGACATTTGAAACCCCACCTCTTTAAGGAATACCTGGGATAGGATAAACTAATCCTTCTACCACCCCCCCCCCCCCCCCCCCCCCCCCCCCCCCCCCCCCCAAAAAAAAAGTCGCTAAATGACGTAAATGTGCCCTTGAGCAAGGCACTTAACCCTAATTGCTCCTGTAAGTCGCTCTGGATAAGAGCGTCTGCTAAATGACTAAAATGTAATGTAAATGTGTCAATATCTTTAGCTTACATAACCTTTTTCACCCATATCACAAGTATTATAACAATCAAAATAATCAATATCAGTATCTAATCCATTAATTGCAATGTCAACATCACTAAGCATTAATATTAATAACTTATTCAGATCAATCAGTCCACTAATAATTTACAATCATAATCAAATTAATTACCCAAAACAACTTTGGAATGACAATTCTTAGTTAGTCAACTTTGTTCCATCATTCAAAGTTAAAACTCTCACCTTGGCACATATTGACACTGGCGGAATGTATATTTATATTATAATAATTCTAGCATTAACTTCCTCATAACGAGAATTACAACAGATCAGTATCTTAATGCATTCCTAGTCCAAATTACTATAAATTTAGTAGTGTAATACCTCCTTAATCAACATACTACCTCAACTAACAGTCCCTTCCTCTACCGGCACTCAATCTTCTGAGGTCTTCATTATGTTCTTCAGATAGCTTCATAGTTCATCTTGGATTACCCCCATGGCAATGTCCCAATTCCAATGTCACACCTGAACCGCCCCACCTTCACCATCATTCTGTTATGTCCATTTGCAAACCAGTATACCCAAACTAGGAAGAACGTTGCATTTGCATAGACCTCTCTCCTCCTGCTCACTCCACATGGACTCCTGTCACATTCTTGAGAGAAAAGGCACAAAAGAGAAGGCAATTGATTGCTTTGATTTGATGCTGGATTCAGGTCTCCTGGCAGAGGTGGTGTCGGACAGGAACGTCTTCTCCGCCTTTGTTGTTCCTCTTCAGCCGGGTAGAGGGTTTTTGGTTTTTATTGAGGTTTACACCGTTCTGGACCGAATTATTTCTGCTATGCATTACGACACCATCCGTAGTAACCTCAGGAAAGGACAGATCATAACAGTTTAGTTGAGTTAATTTCCAATCCAAAACATCCCTATTAACATTGTCTACATGACAAATCATTATGTTTCATCACTCATTCTTAATACCCATTTCTATCTAATGCCTGATAGATTTTTCTTTGAGGGGTCCCTGTATTCCAAAGGCTATCTGTTTAAACACCCCCTATTTTCACATTCTCCCTCAAATTCTCCCAAACTATCTAACCCAATTGTTTTACTTTAACATTCCTATATTTTTGCTCATAATCTATTTGACATTACTCTGGTGTTTCCCTTTTCCTTGTTCCTATTCTAACAATTCAGCGCACATAAAACAAAATAAAATCCCATAAGACTTAAACCCCTAGGCTTTTCCTTAGCCGCACTGCTACCACTCCATCACCCCCAACATGCTTCGTTACCTCGAAATCTCAAATATGCTATCCCTTGCCTCGTTTGTGGTACTTTCCCACATGCCTGTGGCCCTAGCAGAGCAAAGGAAACAACTACTTCAAGGTCTCAGAGCGAGTGACGTCACCGATTGAAATGCCACTAGCGCGCACCGCTAACTAGCTAGCCATTTCACACCGGTTACACTCACCCCCCTTTTGACCTCCTCCTTTTCCGCAGCAACCAGTGATCCGGGTCAACAGCATCAATGTAACAGTTTTGCTTCCGTCCCTCTCCTCGCCCCTACCTGGGCTCGAACCAGGGACCCTCTGCACACATCGACAACAGTCACCCTCGAAGCACCGTTACCCGTCGCTCCACAAAAGCCGCGGCCCTTCTACCAAAATAGTTTACTAATGTGATGATGGTTTCCCCGTTACCTTCTGTGGACATACCCCTTCCTTAACTATTATTAGTCCCTCTGAACTGCATTTAATCTGGACCCCCATTCTACACAGTGTATTTCTTTCTACTAAATTAACTGGAATTTGTTCTGACACTAATATATGTACACATAACTTTTTCCTGCTTTTTATTCTACTGGAACTGTCATATATATTAGCTGCGTTTGTCATGAAAATTCTATTGTCTGTGCATCTTTGCCTGACATGGGGTTGGTGAGAGGCATAATTTGGATTTACACATGAGTAAGTTGTATATAATAATATGCCATTTAGCAGACGCTTTTATCCAAAGCGACTTACAGTCATGCGTGCATACATTTTTTTTGTTTTTTTTGTTTTTGTGTATGGGTGGTCCCGGGGATCGAACCCACTACCTTGGCGTTACAAGCGCCGTGCTCTACCAGCTGAGCTACAGAGGACCACATGTAATATGAAGTGAGAGGCTCAGAAGCACTACATGTTTGTGTGTGTGTTCTCATAAGATTTGGTGAAGGCATATGTCATGCAGCCTATGATGAAGCATCATCATGGTGGAGGAGGGCATTATGGGGTGGTAGTCATGGTTACCCCAAGAGGAGCACCTTGATACGTCCGATCCACGTGAAAATGTGAAACAGTATTTGTGCTTTATGATGTTGTAAACTTTGTTGTATTTTCTTTGTTGGCTATTTTTGAGGTGAAGATAAATTGCAGGGTCTTTTTAAAAAGTGCATTTACTGTAAAAAGTGGGCTTTTGAGGAGTGCAATACCTTTCTGAGGCTGAAGTCTGGCCTGTTTGTGTGTGTGAACCAGATGCAAGAAGCCTGTCATTTCAACTCCTGACAATAAACACATTAGCTCTGTCCATTACGCTCCATCCATTAAACTGGTTGATCTCAGTTTAGTTTTTTTATATTAAATAAAACGCACAATGTATATTCTGATGCGAACTGGTCATTTTGTTGAGCCTTTTTTATCTCACGTAGTGTTTGAAAATGTGAATTAAATGAACTAGACAACAGAAGACCGAAGGTCTCACGTATTCATTCATTGGTCCATTTTACTGACATGATTTCTAGTGCACTCTTGTGGACTTCATGGTATCATCAGCTTGAGCTACATACTGAATATCTACAACAGTACAGAAAAGCATAACTTTGTTTTGCACAGGCGTTCACATGATCGTATCATAGAGATATATATATATATATACACAATTGTAGATGTCATGGTGACCCCTCTAGTTGGTGTTGTCCTTGGTGTGCTCCATGATGGCCATCAGAGCCAGCCAAGCCTCCTTGGCTGTAGGAAGGATCTGATTGGCTGGCAGGATGAAACCATAGAGACCAGTGTCTCTCAGCTCGAAGGTGTAGGAGTATTTGATGCCTTGGTTGTAGGACCAGTCAATAGTGATGCCACTGGCTCGGTCTAATGGAAGATAAGCACATTATTTGTATACGTTGTTCCTGTATTAGACCTTGTTGTGGCTGTATTGAGCCTAAGAAGTAGCCTTTCATGTATTTTTTGTGAAAGTGAGTGGCCCGTCACTTACATATGGTGGTCATAACGCTGCCGTATCTGTAGGAGGTTCCATACAGGGTAGCCAGGTCAGTGATGGCCTTCCTAGCCAGGTCGTGCTGTGGGTGAAATGTAAAATAACGTCAAGAGACCTGTACAGCTTTTGACAATTTAAGGTCATGTTCGATGGCAAAACGTTTCCTTTTTGTGTGTACTGAGCTTGACCTTGACTTGACCTGTCAAAGGCCTTAAGCAAAACCAGTTGTACCCTGTTTGATGATATAAAGTGCATTATTGCCTCACATACAAAAGACAAATGACTGAGACATGGCTAACGGTCAAGGGAAGGTAGGAAGACTGTCTCTGCCAGACTCACCAGTTCTCTCTGGTCCTTGCAGGGGGTTGCAGTGTAGCCATAGGGGTACATGATCCTCTGGGAGTAGCTGTGGATGTCGATGAAGGCCTTCAGGTTGCCATGAGACTTGACAAAGTCCACGATGGACTTGACCTCAGACTCCGAGTGAGCCTTGGGCCCGCGGTAAGTCTGATCGCATGGGTTACTGCTAGAGCCGGCGGCTAGGGAAACAGAGTGGAATACAACCAACATCACGCCAGGGACAGTCCAACCACAACATTGACACACTTCCTTTGAAACTGTAAGTCACCATAGGGGAGGAGATCATTTTCTCAACAACAAAAAAACACAACAACGTATTTAATCCTGACAATTAAATAAGGCAGCATCCTGGGGACCCCAAGGGGTGCACATTTAGTTTTTTTTGCCCGAACACTACACAACTGTTTCAAATAATCAAAGCTTGATGATGAGTTGATAATTTGAATCAGTTGTGTAGTGCTAGGGCAAAAAACTAAATTGCACCCCTTGGGGTCCCCAGGACCGGGTTTGGGAAAGGCTGTAGTAAGACAAACTTTTTTGTGGACAGTTTATGCAATTTTAAACAGAATGTGTTGAGCATCGTTCAAGAAGCCGATAGAAGACATAGCTTACTTCCAAAACCAGCATCCCAGTTCCTGTTGAGGTCAGTTCCATCACAGGAAGAGCCAGGGTTGGGCTTCCTGCTCTTACGCCACATACAGTTCTGTGGAACATGCAAGGTCAACATATTCAATGGTTTGGTAAGACTCCATGCGCATTCACTCTAGCTGACACGGAATGAATGAATGAAGCATCAGATCTGCCATTACAGAGGATCAGTGGATGGATTAGTAATAATAAAGACCCATTTCTGATGTTAGGAACTCACAGTATTATGGGTGTAGTAGTAGCCATCTGGGTTGGTCACAATCTCCAGGAAGATATCCATGTTGTCCAGAATGGCAGTGAGTGTGGCGTCACGTATCTTTCAGCTCGATACAGTCAAGCAAGTACGACTCTCTTTTACCTGAGAACTAGATCATGTATATATAATTATCATACACACCTCTATATCTCATCATTCAAACTTCAGAGTGCGACTCATTTACACCATTTATACCACTCTTATTCCATATTTATACAATGTTGTTCTCAAACACGCTTAATTACTATTTGTATAACCTACAGGAATATTTTATTCTATCAAAGGGCCCAAATTTGGAATGTTAACCCTATCCCAGTTATTATTTTACTGTAGTCAATTTATCATAATACTACATCACCTCTAAAGTTTCTAAATATAATGTCAGAAACATACCCTAAAAGATTGATCAAAATACAATGCATAGACATCATATGATCACACCGGTACACGTGACCTGTTCCTCCAACAGGATTTATTCTACCCATCCTGGTAACGTGAATTTTCTACACTCAGTTGGTCAATGAATATCCACGCACCATTTATTCTTCTCTTTCCTAATGTGAGATTAGGCACGCCCTTTCTCCATCAGACAGAAGCTTCAAACGACCTCAAATATATTTCATTTCCTTACAGAAAGGCTATTTACTTGCAGGATTTCTTATTATTCTCACTCACACAGATGAGCAGCCACTTGTGCCCAAATGAATCAGACAGTTTAATGACTCACAGTAGCCCAAGCAAACCACTCATCCACATGATCAGACCTACTCTATTTAACACTTTCTCTATATTTTGAAGCCTTAGTGACTGTTTAACCCGTTCACCTACTCAGAATGACCTAACTTTTTTACCTGATCGACCCTGCCTAACTTTGGCATCACCACAACACAGGATAACGCCCCACCTACCCGAGCAGACCTCTAACAATGAATTCCTCATTAGAGCGGTAACCGTAGGTCCCAAATTTAGCTAGCCACCTGCCCGTTCAGCCCTCTGGAGCGCTAATTTTAGCTCTCCAAAGCGGTATCCACAGGATTTCTATTTATTTAGCCCCCTAGGTGATACACTTCCTCGACACACCTGGACTTTTACTACGCTTTCCTAAGCGACCTGTAAATTCTTCCCTTCTTCTCTGATTCACTTCCTCGACACAGAAAATAAGCAGTATTGCACAGGATTTCGCCTACCTAAGCAGCCTATAAATGATACACTTCCTCGACACGTTTATAGCGGTATTCGTAGGACTTAACATGTTATTGTCTGATCGCTCAACCAGATGGACAATCGCCCGTGCCGAAATGACCCAGACAGAGCGATCAGCAGGATGAATCAAATGAATCAAATGAATCAAATGAATCAAATGAATCAAATGAATCAAATCAATTGAACAGACGGTTCAGACGAACAACAGAGTGACATCGACATGTATTCTTAAATTCAAAAGCTCCCAGTCTCTAATTTTCTGGTTCTTAAATTTGGAGAGACCTACTTGGTATTTCTGCAGCTGATGCCGTGCCCTGGATCGAACCACACAAATGTTTATACTATATAAGTAAGAACTTGGCTTACCTTTTAAAAGCGGCCGCTTTTGTTTGTATGGTCCGTCCAAGCCGTTTCATAACTGCAGATGTACACCGTCTCTGGACCTTTTTTTCAACTCCTGGCAAGCTCGCCAAATATTTGACAAAAAAATTGTCAACTCAAAAATATCTCTCAAGAGACTGGAGCTTGTGAATCCAGAAATTAGACTTTATTATTGCGTAACAAAGCCGAGCCACTCCATGGAACGGCTGTCTCTCTTTGGCTTAGAGATCTCTTATATACACACACAAATGCACAGTCATGTATACATAGCTTACAAAGCTACTCCCCTTAAGATCACTGATTAACATATTTAACTGCCACGCCACTATTATCTTTGAAAGTCCAATAACACATGTTGTTTACTCCAAAAGGCCATGGGCGCTTTTGCCTCTTTCCCTTATCTCATTATATTGGTGGCATGGCTCAGATACTTTAAAAAATAAAATACATACATTCATCAAAGCATGTTTACACATTGTATTGACTATATTCCTTATTTAGACATGCATCTGGACTTGTCAATCATGTTTACTATATTTTATCTTTGACATTTCCCAACATTTTCCTTAATGATACATAAAATATTACCATACAACATGTGTGGGTAGAATACGCATTCAACACTCTCCCCTGCCCAGCCACTGGTCTCTCGCCTTTCGAGTGTTCGATGGGTTATCAGCCCCCGCTCTTCCCTGAGCAAGAGCAAGAGGTCAACATACCCTCGGCCCAGATGTTCGTCCGCCGCTGTCGCCGTACCTGGAAGAGAGCCTGGTCTGCTCTTCTCAAGACCACCTCGTATCGATGACAGGCGGACCGCCACTGGACCCCGGCTCCCCGTTATCGTCTCGGGCAGAGGGTATGGCTGTCCACTCAGGATCTGCAAACTTTCCCTCCGTTTTATCGGCCCTTTCCCCATCTCTAAGATCCTTAGCCCCTCTGCTGTTCGTCTTCTGTTGCCCCGCACCCTCCGTACACATCCCACTTTTCATGTATCAAGGATTAAACCTCTGTCTCACAGCCCTCTGTCTGACACTGCCCTGGATTACTGACCTCTGCCTGCCCTGACCCTGAGCCTGCCTGCCGTTCAGTACCTTACTGACTCTGCCCTGGATTACCAACCTCTGCCTGCCCTTGACCTGTCGTCTGCCTGCCCCCTATTTTGTTAATAAACATCTGTGATTCAAACTGTCTACATCTGGGTCTTATCCTGAGTTCTGATAACTCAATCAGGTTGGAAAAGTAGGCTAATCGAGCAGCAGTGAGGGCTTTTTGATATTGCACGGTACTGTCTTTCCAAGCTAGTCAGAAAACGTCAAATTTGATGGAGCACCATTTCAGCTCAAATTTTCTGGAAGCTTGCTTCAGGGATCGGATATTTTCTGTATAACAGGGAGCTAGTTTATTGTGACAATTTTTTTTGAGGGGTGGAGGTTTAGTGGTGCGACTGCATCCAGGCTATTACGCAAGGTAAAGTTTAGATCCTTGGCTAGGTGATTAACTGATTTTTGTACTCCGTCCTTGCGTAGGTGGAGTCTGGAAGTGCATCTAGGAATCTTTGGGTTGTATCAAAATGTATAGCACGGCTTTTGATAATCCTTGGTTGGGGTCTAAGCAAATTATTTGTTTTGCGATTGCAAATGTAATACGATGGTGGTTCAATAGTCCAGGATTATGATGAAAAACATTTAGATCCACAATATCTATTCCATGGGACAAAACTAGATGCAGGATATGATTGTGGCAATGATGGCTCCGAAAGCACTTCTCCATGTGAATATTGAAGTCACCAAAAATTTGAATATTATCTGCCATGACTATGAGGTCCGATAGGAATTACAGGAACTCAGTCAAGAACAGTGTATACGGCACAAGAGGCCTGTAAACAGTAGCTATAAAACGTGATTGAGTGGGCTGCATAGATTTCATGGCTAGAACCTCAAAAGACAAAAATGCAGTATTTTTTTTTCTTTGTAAATTGAAATTTGCTGTCATAAATGTTAGCAACACCTCCGCCTTTGCAGGATGCGTGGGGATATGGTCACTAGTGTAACCAGGAGGCGAGGCCTCATTTAACGCAGTAAATTAATCAGGCTTAAGCCATGTTTCAGTCAGGCCAATCACATCAAGTTCATGTAATTGTGTTCAGTGATTAGTTCATAGACTATGACTACCTTGGAAGTGAGGGATCTAACATTAAGTAGTCCTATTTTGAGATGTAAGGTATTATCACAATCTCTTTCAATAATGACAGGAATGGAGGAGGTCTATATTCCAGTGAGATTGCTAAGGCGAACACCGCCATGTTTAGTTTTGCCCGACCTAGATCAAAGCACAGACACGGTCTCAATGGAGAAAACTGAGCTGACTACACTGACTGTTCTAGGGACAGACTCCACTAAGCTGGCATGCTGTAAACAGCCTGCAGCCTGGCTTGCACCCTGTGTGGACTCCTGAGTGGCGCAGTGGTCTAAGGCACTGCATCGCAGTACTAGCTGTGCCACTAGAGATCGTGGTTCGAATCCAGGCTCTGTCGTAGCCGGCCGCGACCGGGAGACCCATGGGGCGGCGCACAGTTGTCCACGGTAGGGGAGGGAATGGCCGGCAGGGATGTAGCTCAGTTGGTAGAGCATGGCGTTTGCAACGCCAGGATTGTGGGTTCAATTCCCACGGGGGGCCAGTATGAAAAATTTAATAATGTATGCACTCACTAACTGTAAGTTGCTCTGGATAAGAGCGTCTGCTAAATGACTAAAATGTAAATCTCATTGTGGAGCTAGAGGAGTTAGAGCCCTGTCTATGTTGATATATAAGATGAGAGCACCCCTCCAGCTAGGATGGAGTCCAGCAGGCCAGGCATGGTCCTGGTTGTGGGTGGGTCCCAGAAAGAGCACCAATTATCTACAAATGCATTATTTTGGGAGGGGCAGAAAACAGTTTTCAACTAGCGATTGAGTTGTGTGAGTCTGTATCACTCCCCCAAACAGGGAGGGGGCCAGAGACAATTACTCGATGCCGACACATCTTTCTAGCAAAGTTACAATCTATGTTGCGCTTGGTGACCTCTGACTGTTTCATTCTGACATTTCTGGTACCGACATGGATAAAAATATCCCTATACACTCTACACTCACCAGTTTTAGCCTCAGTCAGCATCATCTTCAGATGAGCCTTTACGTCGATAGCCTGCCCCCTGGTAAAGAATATATGATCGCTGG